TTGATTCTTGAAGCTAAACCTCATGCTTTAAGAATATAAAAACATAAACAACCTTTTTTTCTCCTTACATCAGGCACACAAACACTGCTTCACACATAACTTGGCATTTCTGTTAGCAGAAAAAAAAAAAAGACATTTTTTAAAAAACGGCATCAGTCCAGATGTCAGCTTTACTACAACTCGTTAATTTTAATAAAAGTAAAGGTGCATATAAAATAAAGCGAATGCAGAACAGAGCGATGTAGTGCAGCAGCGGGCCGAGCCTGAGCTGTTTGCTGATCGACTGTACAAAGCAGAATTGATTAAAGTGACGCTGTATCTGTTCTGTGAGGAGGATTTCTGGAAAAAAAATCAGTTATGAAATACAGCCTTTTCCATTTTCAAGCAGGCTTTAACCCTCCGAAGCACCGTCTGATAGATTTGTCGCTGGAAATACGACAGTTTTCCTCACGTCAGGCAATTTATTATTCAATTAGCGCATTATCTCCACGTGCATTTATTCCGGCGACATGCTTTATGGCGACAGAGGAAAAGGTTAAATTGCGTGTGGATACGCGGCATCAGGAGTGCTATCAGTTACACCTTGTTGGCGTCTCGTTGCAAGCCCCTCCGCCGCCGCCGCCGTCAGCAGGGGAGTGCTCATTTTTAAAAGAGATTTGCATCAAATCCTCGCAGCATTTTCTATGACACTCTAATTGTACTGATGTCTGCCTCTTTCAAAAGGTCAGAGATGCGATGGGATTACATTTGGAATACTTCAGTGTGATTAACAGGCCGCTGGGAGAGACGGAGGCAATCAAAGTAGAAACCCAGCTCCATCCTGCATTTAGCTTACTGCAAGGAGAAAAAAAAGAAGTGTTTTAAAAAAATATTCTGCAACTATTTGGATTGTTGTATTTTGCAAAACAAATCTTTTGATAATTAAAAATAGAAATTAGCAACTGTATCTGCAACAGAAAAATCGTATTTTTCTTGTTTTAAGCCTCAGATAAAACATCTCATGAATCTGTTATACATAAATGCACCAAAGTAAAAAAAAAAGAGAAGCGTCTCCTCACACAGATGGCTTTGTATATTTCCCTTGATTAAACAGAAACTAAAACAGAAGGATCACCAAACTATTAGATAACACCCCCCGGTGAAAAAGATTCCAACAATTTAGCCTCAGAAAAAAAAAAGAAAAATCCTTAATACGGAGCTCCTTTTCCAAATGGTTAATTACTCTTTCTCTTTATTACGTTACAAGACAGAATAAATTAGTATTCTTTGCACTTTTGCTTCTGTCAAATCCAGTTGAGCAATCAAGGTATTTATAGAAGAAGAATGTTTCACTCTGGAGGAAAGTGGAGAAAAGATTCCTTTGACTTAATATTCATTATGTACATGATTAATTACTATATAGCCTCAGACTATCAAAAGATAGTCAGAGATATCATATTTTACATGTATTTAATTAGTGTGCACTTTGAGACCTGTGCCCTGGCAAACCCAAACGCTGAACTTTTTTATGGGAGGAATTTCAATTACGTGCGCTCTCTCTCAAAATGAGGGCTAGGACTATGCACGGAAAAAGAAGTCATTAGGGCTTTTCCAATTGGTCTCAGGAGATGCCCGAGGTTTCACAGATGAGACGGGAATCAGAGTCGCACAATCCCATAGATCAGGGCGCCGCTGCTCCACTGCGCTAAAATTAGGGCAATATATCAGCGAGAGCTATCAACACTTATGTCAACATTGTTTCCCGAGAAATATGAGGTTTTTTCAGCGCTTATGTCCTGTTGTTTAATACGTTTGCCTGAGTAATGATGGCAGGTCTACGTCTCATTAGTGTCACAAATTTTATTTTTGATATCATTCTGTTTCACGCGGCCAACATAAAGCCGCCGTTCATTCCCCGCTCGCTCGCTCGGTCTCATCGGGAACCCGCCAGATAAAGCGCGGCGGTTTATATTGCCCTCGCATGATCTGCTTTATGCATGAGCCGAGCAGACAGCAGTCATCAAAGTGACCACGTAATATATGGAAAGCGCCGCGGATTGGTGAAATATTAGCGGCGGAAACACGCGGCGTATTACAGTCCCAGCGTGAGGCGCGTGTTTTTTAATTCCAGAACAGTAATTCATTTCCATAAGAACGACGACAATATGCTGATGTTTTCGTCACACGTGGAGGTCATTAATAAAGCGAGACGCCCCCTCGAGATCTTCGCGTTTGTGCGCCACGTGGCTCTTTGACACGACGACGCGGCGTTTTCACGTTGGAGGGAGGCGAAGCCCTTCTGTTCCGGAAGGTGCGAACTCTTTAAAACAGGGGTGTCAAACTCTGGCCCACGGGCCAAATTTGGCCCTCTTTGCAATTATATTTGGCCCGCAAGACAATACCAAATGACTGCTAGAGCTGCCCCCAGTATTATACTGTACAGCGCATTCACCACTAATACTACAAATCCCATAATGCCCTGTTGTTGTTTTGGCGCATCAATCAGGACAGGACCCAGAAACTCCCTCTCCTCTGTGACACTAGGCATAGAGACTTCACACTACAACTGTGCCATTGGTGTGTTTTTTATTTATAATTTGATTTTGCATGTCTCCACAATTAAGTTATATATAATGTATGGGAATAAGCGTTGCTTGTTCCATATTCAATGTTAAAGCAAAATTTGTTTCGGTCCATATTAAAAGGTTCATTTGTTCAATGTTGGCCCGCGACTTTGTTCAGGTTTTAAATTTTGGCCCACTGTGTTCTTGAGATTGACACCCCTGCTTTAAAACAAAGAAGTGATGCACGCCGGAGTCATTTGTTTAAGTTTCTGGACACGTGTAGACCGCGGCAACTCCGGGATCCGCTGCTAAAATCCGGTTGTTTTCAATCCAGCACCAATTTCCGGCCTCCTGCGCCACCTCGTCGCCGCGCACTCCGGCAGCAGCAGCAGCAGCAGCAGCAGCAGCAGCAGCAGCCGGCTCCGTTCCACCGAGCCGCCTAATATTATATTAATAACATTTGGACACAGAGCAGTGATTACCTCTGCAGACCAAAACAAAGGCAAAACCCAAAGCACAGTACAATACAACCAGTAATACATTTTCCAATGATCTGCTGTAAATGGGCGCACTGGTCTGTGATAAGAAACAAATATTATCTCTGGTCCCTGCTAAATCAGCAGAACACAGTTATTGATCCGGCTCCTCACGTTGCCAATAGAATTTTAAGTCCCCCCCCCTTCGGTTGCAGAGACGGCCTGCTCGGGGGTATTGATGTCATTATCGTGATCTGGGTGCAGCTAGAGGGTGGTCACCTGCAGCTCCCCCCCCCCGGATCACCAAGGTTCATTCACAAAACGCCTGCTCTCCAGATGTTAAATCGAAATTAACTTGTGCTGCAACGGGCCGGAGAGATGAAAAACAAAACGCCTAGATATGAAATTTTTCTTCTCCCCAGGTCTCGTCTGTCCCTTTATCACTTTAGGGCGCATAAAAAGCAGAATTCTTGCCTCTGTTCTGACGCCTGGAACATTTTTTGGTATTTTGGGTCGTGGCGGGTTTAGAATTTCAGAAGCTGCAGTGATAATTAATGAGACCTTTGATGGCATTTGGGCGCCTCATCTAGCTACTCAGCATGTCGACCCGTTCGGAGCGGCAGCGAGCTCCAATCAATAAGCCAGGACATTTGAGCGAAGCCCACAGAGGTTGTTTATCCTGAGCAGAATCCGCCCCGCCAAACACCGAGGCGGGGGGTAAATTCCAGGATCGCATGAGGTCCCCGCTGCAATTGTAGTCCGACGCTGCATCCGGCTCCATCTGCTTCCGCTGATATTTATTGTCGCATCGATTCGTCCCGCTAATCTGCATTTAATTTAATTTGAGATTTCATTGTATTCGCCGAGCTTTAAGTGCAGGAGAGCGGCGGTACGTTTGGCAAAGCTGGGGCTGGAAAAAAAACTGTGCAAAATGGACTCAGAAGTGAACACAGTGCTGACCGGTTATTAAGCAAAAAAAAAAAACACTTCTTGGATTCTTAACTTGGCCGCTTAACATTCAGACGGATTATTCAGTCGACATATAGAATAATGAAGCGCACAAAGAGCTCCTTTCACACCACATACGTCCAATAGGCGGCGAGTGAATGGCGATGGAGTTGGCCATGACTTTACTGCTAGCAGGTTTAGCGGCATTCTTTTTCGCAGAATTTGAAGATTTCGCAGCCTGAATGCGAGATACGAACATTGAGTTTTTTTTACATTTTCTAATAACTTTTGAGAGGGGAATATAAAGAACACTCAGGAAGACCGTTGAATAACAGAACGAGAAATGGAGTTCAGTATAAAAATGTACTAAATGAGTCAATACAGCAGCACCAGATATAAAAAATGAACCAAATATGCAACAAGTGGAATAATAGTAACATATATGCGATAATTATGCAGTAATTTAAGACTCTGTGCATCTTCTACATGGTGTGTTTCAGCGGTCTTCAACCTTTTTTGCACCACGGACTGGTTTTAAGCAAGAAATTTTTCTACGGACCGGTCATTACGCACATAAAAAATAATAATTGTTTTTTTTTATATTGAAAAGTTTCATAAATAAATAAAATTAATTTTTTACTTTTTCTTCTGTCTCAGTATCAAGTCTCTCCCACTTTCCAAAGCAGCTCTCCTGAGACGTTTGTTTTTGACTGACGCCTTCGTTTAGCAGCCAGACAAAAAAAACTGACAGTCAAGTGCGGAAACGAGCACAAACGGAAGTGACGGGAAGACGAGCTAGTCATGTTTCAAAATAAAACACCCTGCAGACTCCGCTGGAAATATAAATAAACCAATAAAATGTTTTTATTCTATCTGCGCGGCCCGGTACCAAATGACCCACGGCCCGGTGCCGGTCCGGGGCCCGGTGGTTGGGGACCGCTGGTGTGTTTGACAATTTGTGCTTTTATTTTGAAGGCTAGCGTGAAAGCACTTAGCATTTATCGTTTCCTCTTTGTGTTTTTTTTCCCCCCAGATGCAACAACCGGACCCAGTGCATCGTGATCACGGGTTCGGACGTCTTCCCCGACCCCTGCCCGGGGACCTACAAGTACCTGGAGGTCCAGTATGAGTGTGTGCCCTACAGTAAGTACGACCCTCCTGTCGTGAACTGAAACCTCCTCCCCGTGTTCCTCCTCCTCCTCCTCCACGTCCTCGCCATCCTCCTCTCTTCTTCTTCTTCTGTGGTTTCCCCACTTCCTGTCCCATTTCTTCCCCGGACGGTTCTCTCTCTATCTATCTCTTTGGTCTGCAACATCTACCAGCACCCTTTTTTCTCCTCCATTTGTGTCACACCGAGAACTTCTCATGACCTGTAACACCCTTTGGTCCTCCTTCTTCTTCGTCTTCTTCTTCTGCACTTCCCTTATTATTGATGTGCTCACCGTGTTTCCAGCCTGGTTATGAGGTAGCAGAATTAGAGGGGAGGGCAGATAGCAAAGCTGCTCAACGTCCTGAAGTCTATCAGGCCACCTTGATGGCTTAATATACATTCAGACAACAGGTGCTGAAATATGCCAACAGATGTTCCATTATGTAAGCCGGCAGAATGGCTCCACTCGTAAGTCAACAAGGTGATATTTCATCCAAAGAGATAGAGTTAACATTTTGCCTGTTCCTTGGATGTTAAAATATTCATCGCCATTCAGCCTCCAAACAATCTTTAGATTGCCCTTTGTATTAAAATTCCCCTTTGTCCTTTAAGCTGCCATGTTCATTTGCAATTTGCGAAGGAAAAATTCCCCCGCGTAACCTTTCCAAACTGATTAATGACAAAGATTTAGATGAATTGCCAAAATCACTAATCAGGTGGAACTGAAATAATTAGAGCGGGAGTGATGGGACGATAGTATTTGGCAGCTCTTGTGGATTCAAATGAGTATTTTGTACACTTGATGTCTTTAGATGTGTTTCAGTTTTGAATCTGATTTGACACACAAAAAAACAAAACAAAAAAAAGGAGATTAAACTGCAAATCTAAATAATGCACCTTTTATTCTACAGTTCTCTCCATTCCTATTCGACACGTCTGTTCTACATTGCTCATTACCAGTATACCTGTCGAAGCTGTTCCCCTTAGTGTTGAATCAGAATGCATTAGCGAACATCATTAGATGGTGGAACTCATTACAACTTAAAGGTTAACCTCTCCCAGGCTTTGAGGACCTGTAATTAAAAATGGAATAAGCAATAATGGGTATTTGAGTCCAACTTATTGAGCAAAGACAAATCCTGTAGCTTTTGCCGTAAACTGCTTGTGTTTTTTGCTGCTTTTCTTTCTTTTTTTTTTATTTCTTTCTTTTCTTTTTTCTTTTTTTTTTTTTTTACCTGCCTTATAGTTAAGTAAAGTATTGATCCTATGTCTTGCTGTGTTACCTCGAACCTTAATAGCAGGATTAGCCTCAAGGTGCACTCATGTCCACCCACTGTTTATGACTGTCTTCTGCCTCCGTCTTGCACCAATAAAAAAAAACAAAAAAACAGTCGAGACAGCTGTAGTTTGGCGGAAAATAAAGTTCTGCCCAAGGACTCTCAGTCCTAGCAAAAAGTGTGTCTGACAGGAAAAAAAACAGGTCCTCATTTCACTCTACGCAGTTTCCAACATGCATGTCTGTAGCCCCATCTTTTTGCTTCTCAAGGTCCATGCCCAACCAGAATAGGACCAAGAACACAGAATGTTTCCTATCGCAACTGCCCTGGTAAGTGTTTAGTGTTCTCCCAGTCTGACTCAGTCCACACAAGCCCAGTCCAGCCTTTTTCCTGCTCAAGCCCTGCTGTAAAAACTGTGATAGAGTTTTTTTTCGTGTTGTCGCTTCCCTTTGACGAATCCCGTGTTTCCTCTTCCTTCCCCTTGAGTGTGACGCCGATACCCCGCATCGTGTTGTCGGGATAACGCCGAACTCGCTGACGTTTTCTAGTGTTCGCGTGGAATAGATCGTACGCCAAGAGTTGTGATTAAACAGGAGCTTAGGATCCCGTGGATTTGCCCGAATACAAGACTTGAGAAGATGTTTTTTATGCAAGAGAACGTATTAAACCCGCCATTAAGCCGATCAGCGACGGGGCCGCAGACGGTGTCCTCGTTTTGACCAGCGAACCTCAAAATCTAACCGAAATTTTAAAGTTTTAACCGCATTATACTGTTTTGTTTTGTTGTTGTTGTTGTTTTCTCGCCACCGACTGAATGTATTTAATTCATTCATTCTATTGTGTAAAGAATTTGCATAATCACACAAGCAATTTTTTTTATTTGGTTTTTTTTATTCCACTTCTGTGCAAGAGGCCCCTTTGCAACAAGTTGCCTACCATTTTCCACCATTTTCATCCTTTTTGGCTTTATAATTTGGTTCCTGTCATGAACTGCCCTCATTAGCAACATTATCTTCATATTCCAGCCAAGGATGTAAATTTTTTGCCTTCACCTGGCACCGAGTCTCCCTCTGAATTGGCTCCAGTAATTGCTTGAATCAGGCAACATAAAAGCCAAGATGTTTCTTTATTAAGACTGTTCTGTGCAGGCTATTTTGAAATGGAGGAGAGAGAAAGAAAAAAAAAATAGAAAGAAAGTCTACCTTGGAGAAAGTGTCGAGTCGTGCCAGTGGGCATAAACAGTCCTTACTGCTAATGTTTTCATTTTCATCACATGCTAAAGCCGGTAAATCCTCAGCTCCATGTGACAGTGATGGCCAGATTATGAAAATGAGTGAAAGAAAAAAAAAAAAAAAAACCTGTAAGTGTTTGGATCCCCCTTTTGGTGTTCTGTTCAAGTTCATCCCCGGTATTTACTCAGTGTTGTTAATGTCGTAATTTAATTCAACGCTGGAGCGCAGCAGTTATGATTATTAACGGTCATCACAGTTTTAATTAGCGGTAGTTCGTAGAAAGCAGGCAATCCCGAGAATGTTTTTTTTTTTTGTTAATAAGTGCTGGATAAAGTTTAGGGTCGTGGGTTTAATGTGGGCTGGGATGTCTCATGTTTGTTTTTACTGTTGCTGTATAAAACCTGACTGACTCTCTTCCCTTCCCCCTGTGCAATCTGCAGGAAACCTCTTCGGCTTTCTGACTCACTCTCTTCGTCCACTGACCGATTTCTGATCACACTGATTGCCCATTTTCTATTTTTACATTTCCACTAACGTCATCAGGTCTTCCGTCATGTGTTCTCCTTTTCTTCCTTCCAGATTCCCTCCTTCACGCCACCTCTCTGTCCTCCGCTCGCCTCCCTCTGCTCTCGAGGCAGCCTCCGAGAACTGTTGTTAATTTTTGTTTGCTCCCCATCCATATTTGATCTCTCGGTTAGGTGCGACGCACTCGAATTTCTTCGGCAGAACGGAGCACATCCTTCTGAATCTATGCTCTTCCCCCTCCTCTTTGCCACTGAAGCCTCGGTCAGACTCAACCATTTCTGACAGATTCAAATTCTGATATGAACTAAGTGGAGCAGGAGGGTTTCGGGATTCGTAGGAAATCTCATTTATGATTGCTGACATTATCCCGTGGTGCAAGCCGGGTTAAAAAAAAAAAAAAATGTGCATGTTGAGCTGTGAAGGAGAAAGAGTCTGCAAAATAACTACACTGCTGAGAATGACTCTCCAAATATGTGACACCCAAAAGCATCGTGCATGAATCAGTTTGCAGAAACTAATCGCAAACATATGCTTAAAACAAAAGGACAATTTAATCAAACGTGGCCGCTGTTGTAATAAAGGTGTCACTGAACAGCTGAGTTCATGTTTTTGGGTTGTAGGTTAATTAATTCTGCACATTACTTTTATTTTCTTAAATATACCATGTGCTACCTTGAATTTCCCCCCCAAAGGGATGAATAAAGTGTCTGTTTATCCGCCTAATCCATCATCAAACACACTAGTTGTGAAAGAAACCTCTCTTGAACAGTCTCCAGTCTGACCCTGGCTTCAGAACAACATGTGAATAAACTGCACGTCTGGTTGTTGTAGTTAAAAAAAAAACGCGCAGCGCTAATGCATATGATGCTCTGTTTCTAAGTCTGTGTGATGTGTTTTATTGGCCCTTTGACGTCTCAGATTAATGGACCGAGTTCTTCGCACAGGTGCATCGAGTGCCTTCCTAAAGCCGACTCGTGCTGAAAAGCAGCTAAAACAACTTATTATCCAGAATATGTGTAGAATTAAATACATCTTTCAGCAGCGAGAGTGCACAGGAGCTATATTCATGCATTTTGCTCCGACAATTTGCACTGATTACCTGCTTCCTTGGGGCACAATTAGCTTGTTTTTTAAAATATATATATTCTTTCTGTGTGTGTGTGTGTGTGTATACGGCTTGATCATTTTAAAAAGTATGAAAGTGTTACACGGAGACTTTTGTAGTTATTAATCAAGCATTACTTTGTCCAGAATGTGAAATAAATCGCATCTTTATTGTATTAAAAATCTATTTCGAGGACATGTCAAAGAGGTATCTATATTTAACCTGCTATTTTATCTAATAATAAATAAATAAAAAAGAAATAAATAAGAAGAAGAAGTAGGAAACCAAACTATTTTTTTTTAAATGGATTTCTGTTTGGTTTGTGGTGGTGGGTGGATTTAAAGAGTTTGATTTGAGGCAGTAAAGTTAAAACATACATGAATAAAGCGGTGCCATAAATCACACTTTACTGCTATCCATGAGATGAGACCACGATGGCTCGTTTAACCGATAATCATTTAAACTTAAAATAGTTTTTCTGATAAATCTGTCGTGTGAGAATCGTTGTGCTCAAAGTAAAATCCATTAGTTGTGGATTAAAGATCCTCAGGGTTGGAGGTCAAATGACAAAAAAAGAAAAAGAAAATCCATCCACCACCGTGCCATAACCACGTCCGGTTCTGTTCTAACCGAAACCCTTTTTCTGAGACAGGAGCCCTGACGTCGGCGGCGGCGGCGCCACCTTTCTCTCCTGCTTCAATAGGTGTACCCGTCTTTGTCCATGTCTCATAACGTGTTTCTGCATATGTGACCGTAGCGATGACAGTTAATTCATATTAATCTCTTTTCTTCCCCTTGCACCCCTTTCATTCTCTCTTCCAACGCTTAAAATAGAAGTGGAGCAAAAAGGTAAATAACAGACACGATCCAAACCCTAGCTCCTTGTTTTGTGGCATCTGGTTGTAAAATTACCTATTTTTCCCATGGTGGCCTCTACAAAACGCATTGCAGACGTTTATCGTCAGAAACACCACCACCACCACCACCCCCCACCACCCCGCCTCCAACAAACTGTAATGTTAACGGCCAGCGTAGCGCTACAAGGGAAGCGGAAAAAAAAAAAAAAAGAAAAGACAGCAGCCAAAAAGATGTAAATGGGGGTGTGTTGGCTGCAGTCCATAGGGGCATCCTCTTCTCATTCTCCCTGGGTGCTTTTGCTACTCAGCAGAATCTCATATTGCCTGGCTTCCAAACCCTTTTCCATAGCATGCCATGGTAACACTGTTTCTTGGCCCCCCCTCTTTTCAAGCTTTTCTACTGTCCCTTTTTCTCTCCAAAGCCTCCCCTATCTCCCCTTCTTCCTCTTCCTCTCACTCTTTCCCCATTATTCTCACCTGACCACTTGCTGCTCTTTTCTCTTTTGATTCTTACGCCTTTAGAGCAACAACCTAAACACCTCAAGAGACCCCTACTGAAAGTTGTTTTTTTTGTTTTTGTCCTTCTTTAAAAAGAAAAAGAAATTCTAATGGTCGTGACATTTGCACCACTTGGTAGTGACGAGGCTCTCAGGTCTATACTGTAGAAAAGGTGGTGTAACTGAGACACATCTAAGCGCACACATTTTGCAGACTCCGCTGACTCCTGCTCTCTCATAACCTCTCCCGTCTGTTGCCAAGTGACTTTAGTTGGCTGCATTTTTTTTTTTTTCCTTTTCCTCTTTCGTTTGTTTTTGTTTTTGTTTTTTCGTCTACAGGACCAATTGTTAAGTTTCGTTCTGTTTCCCCTCATTTGTGTTCTACTCAACAGTAAATGTCTATGAGGCCAACCTTCCTTTTGTTTCAGACTACTTTATACATATATATTTATATTTAAACATAATGCTTGATAACGTTTTTTCTTTTTTTCTTTCTATGCACAAAACCAAAATCCTTTATACTGCTTGTGAATCTTGGCTCTAGATGTTAGTTGTGTGTTTCTGGCCACTCTTTGATATGTGTCTGTCCCCCCCCCGAACTCCTATTGGACAACCTGTAAAACAAAAAAAATGACGACGTTAGAGATTGCCTTCCGCAGTTTGACTTTCCACATTTTAACCTGTGTCCGTTTCTCGTTCTACTCTTCTCCCATTACTAGTTTTTCTTTGTCCCGGGACTCTGAAAGCTGTCGGTGATCCGTCCTTTCTGTTCGAAGCGGAGCAACAAGCCGGCGCCTGGTGCAAAGACCCGCTGCAAGCCGGCGACAAAATCTACTTCATGCCTTGGACTCCTTACAGGACAGACACTCTGATTGAGTACTCGTCCCTGGACGACTTCCAGAACGCCCGGCAGACCATCACCTACAAGCTGCCCCACCGGGTGGACGGGACTGGATTTGTGGTGTACGACGGCGCCGTGTTTTTCAACAAGGAGCGCACCCGCAACATCGTCAAGTTCGACCTGCGGACTCGAATCAAAAGCGGCGAGGCCATCATCAACAACGCCAACTACCACGACACGTCGCCCTACAAGTGGGGGGGCAAGACGGACATCGACCTGGCGGTGGACGAGAACGGCCTGTGGGTGATCTACGCCACGGAGCAGAACAACGGCATGATGGTGATCAGCCAGTTGAACCCGTACACGCTGCGCTTCGAGGCGACCTGGGACACGGCCTACGACAAGCGCTCGGCCTCCAACGCCTTCATGATTTGTGGAGTACTGTACGTGGTGCGCTCCACCTACGAGGACAACGAGAGCGAGGTCAGCAAGAGCCTGATCGATTACATTTACAATACCAAGCAGAACCGTGGGGAATACGTTGATATCCACTTTCCCAACCAGTACCAGTACATCGCGGCTGTGGATTACAATCCGCGAGACAACCAGCTCTATGTGTGGAATAACTTTTACATCCTGAGGTACAACCTGGAGTTTGGCCCGCCAGATCCAGCGCACGGTAAGAGCCCGTCGCCCCGATCGCTCCTCCTGCAGACAATATTATTAAATTGCATTGCTGAGATTGTGATTCTTTTTTAGCTGCTGTCAAGTGCATTTTGATATTCCTTCGGTATTCCACGTCCATGTATCAAGTGTCACAGCTGACTGATTTTTAATTTAGAATCTAATATGTGCTAGATATGTTATGGGAAGCTTTGGAGTGTAAGGGAAGCATCTCGGGGGTGAAGTGAGCGGGGCTCTGTGGTAAACAACACCTCGAAGCCAGTTACCATATCATAAGGGATCAGTATCTGGGGGATTTGGGGAGGTTTACCATCCGGGCGTTCCCTGAGTCCCTGGTGCTAAGGCTCTAGGGATCCCTGCTAGCATATCCCTTTTTTCAGAGCTGGGTAAGACGGGGGGGGAGAGAGAGAGATATACTCTCACCTCTGGAAACATACATGCCTGGACAGGTGCAAAGTCTGGCCCGGGGCAAGGTTAGATCATTCCCCCAGTGATGCTGAACCTCCAAATCTCCATCGGCTATTAAAAACAGGAAGAGGGGGAAAAAAAAGAGAAGAAACTCTTCACACTCTGCAGTGGAAGAATTCAAGGTTCAAGCGTAAGAAAGAAAGAGATGTTCGACACGAGGGAGAAGGATCAATCATCCAGGGTCATGTCGGCGACGTATGTTTTTAATTTAGCTGTCAAGAGCTGAGCGGAGGCTAGCCGAGGCCTGCGATAGTCCTTACACTGAGAATATAATAACAGTAATTATCCTAATCCCCTCCACACCCACAGTCCTAAGTCCACGTAATGCTCGACGCAGTCAGCGATGAGCCACAGAGGTCAAGCAACTTTTCCACAGATTATCCGAGAGCTCAATATTTATTAATGTGTTCGCTCGTCCACTTTGGTATTGATAGGACGTGGGCCAGGGCTGCTAAATTGGGTTCAGCCAGTGGAACAGCATCAGTCTAGCCAGACTAAGGCAAGCATTACTGTGACAAAGACTGCAGTCCAGGTCTGAAAGCAGGACTTATATGCAGAGGCTTCGCTGAGCAGAATACTGCAGCAATCATAAGGAAGAAGATATAAAAAAAAAAACACTTTCTCTTTTTATTTCTCCACCTCTGAAAAACGTGTTTGAAGATTCTCCCCTGCAAATAAGACAGATACTGAGGGATTTTTTAATGAAATATTTGCATATTAGAAGTAAATTTAGAGCAATTGAGGAGTGTGCTACAGTCAAAACGTCTTTTCTTATTTTAGTCATGTCCAAAAAATAATTTCACACACTCGTACAAAGAAAATTGAAAATGAGCTGATTTCAACCAGGGCCTTAAATTTGCAGGCAGCTGCTGAAAAAGCGGTCGTAGCACAGTTTCTAATATCTAATAGGAATAAATTGGAGCATGTTTTTACATGCCATTATGTGTTTATGAACAGTAAACTGATTACGAAGCAGTCAGCCGACAGCCTTTATTTTCAGCTTAGCTGATATGGATTCGTGGAATAAGCTGTGTATAAGCAGGCTGCACGCTCAATTGATTTATTCATTTGTTGAATGGACACTGATTACCGATAGCAAAAATCAGAGGCTTTAAAAGAAGAAATAGGACTAGATTCCAGTTGTTTGTGTTTGAGAAACACACTTTGAGAGTGAGTTCATTCACATCCAGGAGAGGCCTCTTCCCTGCTTGTTTAGGAACACACAGTGCCGACGTTCAGCATCTGCTTTATTCATACATCTCTACTTTAATGTCAACGAGGACTCTGTTCTCTCTTCTTGACAAATGAGACGTGAGTCTGGCTCTGCTGCTGACTAATGTATGTTGAGTTGCAGTCGATGAGTGTGAGGGAGAATGGTCCAGGATGATCATCAAGATGTCAATAAACTTGTCCTCCCACATGGCTGATGTTGACACATAAATGATGGCACTTTTTTCTGGCTGTCACAGGACGCCCTCTCTGATATCTTGATGCTCGTTTCACCGCCTGCTTCGCTTGGCGCTGAAACGAGCGTCAGAGTGGTTTCGTGGTGTTAAAAGTTGAAGGTGTGCATTCTAAGTAAAGAAATAAATAAAAGTGAATAGAATATTCCAGCTCGGCTCGCATTCAAATCATATCAAGCACATGTGAAAGCCGAGCACACGTGCAGAAAGCCCCGCGTTTGTCACTGTCACCGGTCCATTCTGAATCCCATCTGACAAACTTCACAGTGATTGAAAGCACAAACAATTCAGATAAAAATACCCGCAGCAACAATGGCTCCTCACTTTGTAAGAAGTCTGCGAGCTGCTCAGCTCCTCTGTCATCTATAGGGGCACAGACTTGTTGAATCACTGTGCGAGCACGACAAACAAAATGCTTTCGGTCTTTTTTTTTTTTGTTAAGTAAAAAAAAACCAGGGTGAATGTAAATGTAGACTCCACAGCTTGTCTGACCTTTTTCTTCGAACAGGAAAAAGAACCTGCAGGCTTTTTAATTTGTCTTTTTCAGATTTCTCTTCTTCAAGGGAATTTGAAAAAAAGAAAAAGGGATGAGTCACTGGTGCAGCGGCGGAGGGGGAAGGCTGATACTGTATTCATGTGCCGCTCTACGCTGCACTTCCAACTTCGTTTATTCCTGCATCTCTCAGGCGGACAAACAACTCAGTCACTTGATTCGCTCCGTCATGGAATGCAAAACATCAAAGTGATGTTGGGACCCCGCGCGACAGACAGTTGGATTCTTGTCAAGTCCAATAACGTCGCTCGTGTAGAGACAAGATCATCTCTTGTAGGATTATGTGGGGAGTGGACGGGGTCGCGTCCAACAAGCAGCTCCACTGGAAGTGGACATTAAATGGGTCAGTAAGTCCCTCTCTTGGCTTTGACCAACTGCACCATAATCCACTTGGTTGGAAGCGCGTGTTTTTTTTTTCCCCTCAGCCGCATATATGAGCTCGTAAAAAGAGTTATTCCTTTGTCGCATCTTGTAAGTGAGATGATTAAATTGATTTAAATGAGGTATTCCCAGAGAAAACTCATTATGCACCCATTTCTATGGCGCGTTTATTCATGCCAGGCTCTGATATGTGGCCTCAAACCACCGAGTAAGCATCTCGGCAGCTATTTTTACAGGAAGCGCGCGCAAAACGGACTCCGACACCGCCTCAATGGGACACAGGTGAGCCCCGGAAACCTTTTATTTATCCCCGGTTGCGAAATCACGACTGTATTAAAAACCCCCGGTGCTGCAGTTACCGCCCACACAAATCAAGACCTCCCCTTTAATTGTTCAAATGTCAATACATTTGCATACAGTTTCAATCTCCGCCGCACCCTCAAATTATACATTTGCGAGCGGGGATCGTAAGAAAAGGAAATGAGCCAATTTGTTTAAAATTATAAGGTGCGGTTCACTGACGCGACTTGCCAATTAGCTCGCACAACTCGGCATGTGGTCACAACAATGCCCCCGTAGTTCTGTGTGCCGCGAAAGTGCTTCACAATGCAAAAAAAAATGTTCAGCTGTTACAGATGCTTGTGACTCACATGCATTAGCAGTCGCCCTAGAGAGCTTACCTCTTATAGTCTGATGAATATACAGCTCTCTAATAAGCGCCGCCGTGATTCATTCCTGTTGTCTCGCGTAGAGGTCAACCCGAGAGAAAACAAGAAAAGCCAGAAAGGGAGAGTTTCAAAGTCGACATTAAGCTCTCGCCGGCCCTGTGAGGAGCTCAGGTGAAAACCGGCGGAGGCTCCTTTCTTCTGGCTGCTGCTCGCCGGCGGTGCAGGAACAGGGATCAGGATGTGTTAAAAGCGGCCAATTTGTTTGTTTGCCTGAACAACAATCCTCGCGCTCCCCCGGCCCCCCTGTCAGCTGCCCAAGTGGACATAGTGGTGTGAAAGGAGAAGGTATTCATGTGGAAAATCACTCTTTTTGTTTTCCTGTCCTGTCATATTCTGGATCCCATTGTTTCTCTCTCTGTGTCTGCTTCCATCTTATTGTTTCTCTCTTTCATTATCTCTCTATTGCAGTGGTTTTTTTTGCCCTCCTCTCACCTGCAGACTGATTTTCTTTCTTTCTTCCTCCTCGTCCACGACCAGATACGTGCATCCGCTTGACTTCTCTCCTGAAGTCGGGCTAAAAACCCGGGTCGGGCTGCTCAAATAATGCCCAGCGAGACGCACTTAATGACAGGATTTAAGTAAATCCTTCGCTCTGCCTCCCAGGAAACTGTACACACAACAGGACAAAGATGGCCGCCGTGCACGATCAGGCCTCGCACACTGCTCGCTTGCTCCTGGTGGTGGTAACACGGGGGCTTTAGTGCACTTTTCTAGCTTGCAATGTATGTTTAAGCTTGGTCACTCCATGTAATAATAATAATAATAATAGATCAGATTAATATAGCGCTTTTCTAGACACTCAAAGTCGCTTTACACTGTCAGTCATCCATTCATTCTGGTGGTGGTAGCTACGATTGTAGCCACAGCTGCCCTGGGGCAGGCTGACAGAGGCGTGGCTGCCATTCTGCCCCTCCGACCACCACCTCAAACAATCCATTCATTCACACCAGGCAAGGTGGGTGAAGTGTCTTGCCCAAGGACACAGCGACCATGAAACAGGTTACAGGGCGGAATCGAACCGCCGACCTTCCGATCATCACCTGAGCCACAGCCGCCCATGTATGTTGATGTGACTGACTGCACAATCAGAATCAAAAGTCTGACTGTACAATCCCCTTTTCATGTTTGCTGGTCGTGAAGTTAATCCATCAAGCCTCTTTTTTCGTTGTTGCAGCACTTAAAGGTGTCTTTAAGTCTCAGTTATGGTTTGATTTATGTAAACTGGGAGTAAATTCCACAGTTTCAGGTGTGTCTTTAACCAAAAGGCCAACACAGCTCCCCGCTCTTTATTCCTCTCATATTCTTTTTTTTTTTCTCTCTCTCCCCACCACCTTTTATTTATTCTGTCTACATCGTGACCCACTGGTCTCGTTCTCGGGGTGAATTTAACTACGGCGATAAA